CAGTCTGACATCCTACATCTTTCAGGCCATAGGACTCCCTCAAAATAATTCCAATCTTGATTTAAAAAATCACCAACGATGGAGAATCCACCACGGCCCCTTGATAAACTGATCCAGTGTTAAAATAACATACCTTATTTTCCGTCTGAATTTGTACTGTTTCAACTTCCAGCCATTGGATATTGTCTGGAGGGTGGGTGGATGCAACCTCGTTGAAATTAGTGGGCATCCTTCATTCAGAATAAAAGTAAAAAGCAACTAAGCTTCTTCTTGGAATGAGGTAGCTGAGGGTATGTCTACACAAGTAAGATTTTTTCAGAAAAATGCGTTTTTTTTCCGAAAAAACTTTGCTTACGTCCACACTGCAATCACTGTATTTAAAAAAAAATGGAAGGAACAGAGAGGTTTTTCTGACATTGGTAAACCTCTTTCTATGAGGAAGAAGCCTTTTTGAGAAAGAGCTCTTTCATAAAAAGGCATGTGTGGGAAAAAAGCACAGGTGTCCATAGTAATCACAGTTGACATGCGAGAGAGCGTCCATTGAGTGTGGACGCTCTCTGTCAAAAAAGCAGATTGCTTTTTCGATGCACTTTGACAGTGTGGATGCTCTCTTTGGCTGTGTCCAGACTCAGGGGTTTTTTCGGGAAAAGTAGCCTTTTTCCGAAAAAACTTCACCTGCGTCTAGACTGCAGCCGCGTTCTTTCAAAATTAAATCGAAAGAACGCGGCTTTTCTTTCGACGGCGGTAAACCTCATTTCACGAGGAAGAACGCCTTCTTTCGAAAGTGCTTCTTTCGAAAGAAGGCGTTCTTGAATGTAAATAGGGCTTCTTCGAAAGAGAGCATCCAGACTCACTGGGTGCTTTCTTTCGAAAAAGCAGCTTGCTCTTTCGAAAGTTCCGCGTGCAGTCTAGACGCTCTCTTTCGAAAGAGGCTCTTTCGAAAGAAAGCGTCTAGACTGCACGCGGAACTTTCGAAAGAGCAAGCCGCTTTTTATCTAGACATAGCCTGAAACAGTGGAAGCCACTACCGAAAACACAGACTGCATGCATGGCCTCTCCTAAACTGAGCTATGTGTGTAGACGGGATTCACCGAATGTTGGCTGATAGAGAGATGTGTCCAGGAGAAATATGCAGAAAGAAGCAGCCATAAATCCAAGCAGACAGCCAGACTGGACTGGAAATGTGTCCCTGAAAACAAGCAAAGTGAGAGCATTTTGGGGCAGATGCTGAAAAAGAGGCTTGGATCTGGGCAGTAAATTCTTGCTGTGTTCGGGGAAAACAAGTATCATGTCTAATCTGTGTAAATACAGAGGTCTGAATCAAAGACATCCCTCACTCTTCATCAGTCTCTTTTAACGGAAACAACCTTCAAAGTCTTGAATATAGGGTAACCACTCAGGCTAAAAGAAGTGCCGTATTCTCGCTTTCTTCATCTGATTTTGCTGGTTTTGCTACTAAGATTATTTAGTTCTGTTAAAGCATTTGTAGGAAAAACAACGTCTAAAATATATTGTTTCCTATCTTCTTATCAGAGAAGGTCAAACCCACAGATATCCGGTCGATAGCTGAGTTGAAGATCAAGCTAGCTTTGCGGCCATGAATGAAAAACTCAGCTCCTGTTTTGTTCTTTGTCTGTTTTTGCAACCAACTGGCCAACAATTCATCAAGAGGTTTGTAACCTGTTCTGAGGAAAGACGGTCTGCGTGAGCTTCAAACTTGGATAACCAGAGTCCAAGGCTTTTCTCTGCTATGGCAAGTCATTTGGCCTCAGTTTCCCATCTGTGTAATGGGTTCATGGTACAGCCCTATTTCAGAAGGACAGTAAGGAGCTCAGATACTATAGTGATGGGGGCATTGAGGTATACAGAGGTCACAGAATCTATTACTCATTGGGAAAGGCAAATTCACCAATGTTCTTCCATTGATACACATCTGGGCCAGTGTAACCCACTGTGACGTCCTGGGGATTGTATTCACTCTTGTACTCACTGTATTCACTCTGTTTGCTTTGTTGTGTTGTGTGTGCTTCCACTGTCCAGTGCTGTTCTATAGAACCTCTGTGTGTGTGTGCGTGCCTCAGTTTCCCTGAGCACTGCAACACTACCAGGATGAGGAGGGGAAGGTGAGGCATGACTCACTGTGGAAGAATGTGCAGTCTCTTACTGTCCTTCACTGTCCCATCTAGTGGCTCGGAGACCACTTATATAGAAAACAACGAGTCTGCTTTAGAGCCTTCACTGAGAGCCAGCGGGCTTTTAGCTCATGCGGGAGCAACCCAGTGGCCCCAGGTTGCTTGGCATTACACAAGGCTCCCAAAACTGTGGGGCAAACGGGTAGGCGGCCATGTCTAGATTCAAGATGGCCGTCCCTTGCTGACATCACTCCCCGCTGAAAACTTGATGGATCCACCTGATTTTTTGGCCGTTGACCATTCGGCCCTGCTTCTGCCCGCACAGTTTGGGGCAGGACCGGCAAATACATCCGTGTGCTCATCAGAACCCCAGTTCCCAAAGTCTTCTGGGTGTGTAGCATGTGAAGTTCCCTTGGCTTGAGAACACTCAGCCAGCAGCGTTAATTTATGAGGGAAGATCACAGAGCAGCAATAGGGAAGAAATTCAGCAGCCCCTTGAATGACGCTACTTCCTGATGCTGACTGACTGACTTAGCTCATATATAAATAGTCCGTTGTCCTTGCACAACACCATTGGCTGGGTGGTTTCGCCTGCCCTGGTACATGCCATGGCTGGGGATGTGATCTATGCTGATTTAAATCTTGCTGAAGGCAGGGGACCACCTTCCTCTAATGCTCACAGTAAGTGGGGATGTGAGGGGAGGGTTGCCTAGTTTGCTGCCAATTTTGGGAGGGTTTTAGCTGGGATCCCAGCTGTGTAAGTGCCAGTGAATCTAGAGAGACATTTCAAGTCCAACTTGGGACCTGCATAGCCTCCGGTGGCCCTGCTTAATATCTTGGAGCGCATCAATAGAAGCAGCATTGGCAGCTTCACAGCAAATTAGAATCGATTCTTGTAACAATGTGTTCTGGGCTTCCTTTGCATGCATCTGGGAAGGGTCCAGGGCAGCAGAAGGACTGAAGGGGCATAGGGCTGGATTTTTAAAGCTATTTAGCTGTCTATGGGGATTTTCTAAAGCACCTAGACTCTTATCGCCCTTTAATTTCACTGGGTCTTAAAAGCAAAAGTTGCTTTTGAATATCCCACAAGGCTTCTAAATTCCTTTAAAAATGTGGCCTGTAGAGACCAAAGTCTCACTGATTTTTAATTGGTTGAGATGCCCGTCTCTCTTAGGCACTTTTGAAAACTTCGCCCAGTTGATGAGCAGGCTGCTGGCAGGTTTGTGTTTCTCTCTCATGGGCAGTCTCTGTCTGTTCTGTGGCATTTTCCTGTGTCGCAAATTGAAGCGATCTAGGTGAAAGGGGCAAGTTTTACTGTTTGGGTTTGGAAAACCTGACTATGGAGTTAGCCGGCTTGATGTAGTTTCCAAAATGAAAATCAGTCTGGTGCCTAAGACCTTGGAGTGGGACATGAGACTAGACCCATGTTCCCCACAAACTCCCTGTGTGAGGAAAAGTTTTCAAAACTGCCAATACATCACAATTTCAAAGTGACTTAGGATCCAAAGTCCTATTAACTACAATAAGGCTTCAGCTCTTAAGTCACTTTGAAAGTCTTTGGGACTTAGGGTATGTCTACACTGCAACACTATTTCAAAATAACTAGAGTTATTCCAAAATAACTTAGTCCATGTCTACACAGCAGGCAGTTATTTCGATGTAGTGTCAAAATACTGTCAAGCTGGAGGATTTCTTACTCTAACTCCTGTAACCCTCATTGTATGAGGAATAAGGGAAGTCAGAGGAAAAGTGCTCCATTTCGAAATAAGTGCTGTGTAGACGAATTTTGAGTTAAGCCCTGCTGTGTAGATGCACCCTTAGACTCCAAAGCCATTTAAGAGCCTGCATAAATTTTATCATTCATCTGTCTCTACCTCAGTTTCTTCATCTGTAAAATAGGTGTGCATGTAGGGGAGGGAAACTAATAAGACATAACACTGGATGAGATATAAGAAATGGATGCAAAAAAGAAGCAGGTTGGGGTGGAATTGATTGGGGAGTAATAAAGACACTATGCAGAGTAAGGGTGCATCTACACTGCACCCTAAACTCGAAATAAAGGGTGCAATGTACGCTATGCAAATTGCGTATCTTATTTAAATTTCTTTTCAAAATAGGCTATTTCAAAATTTGGCGCATCTACATTGCACCAAATTTTTTTTAAAAAGTGCTGTTTCAAGCCACCCCTTATCCCTCATGCAACAAGGTTTACAGGGATGGTGAAATAGCGCGTCCATTATTTCGAAAAATATTTCAAAATAATGGGTGCATTCCTTGAACCCAGGATAGCTATTTCTCTGGTATCCTGAAATAGCCGTGCAGTGCACACCTACCCTAACTGACACTACGTGCAGGGCCGGAATAAGACATGGGCTAGCCAGAGAGCTGCACGGGGCGCCAACCATTGGGGAGCACCTGATGGGGAACTCGCGTCCATTATTTCGAAAAATATTTCAAAATAATGGGTGCATTCCTTGAACCCAGGATAGCTATTTCTCTGGTATCCTGAAATAGCCGTGCAGTGCACACCTACCCTAACTGACACTACGTGCAGGGCCGGAATAAGACATGGGCTAGCCAGAGAGCTGCACGGGGCGCCAACCATTGGGGAGCACCTGATGGGGAACTCCCGCAGCGCTGGCTAGCTGCACCCATGCCCTGCCCCAAACCGGGGTGCAATTAACCTGTCTGCCCAGGGCGCCGGAATGGCTTGGTCTGGCCCTGACTACATGGGCAATTGAAAATGCAATCAGTGGGGCTGTATAAGCACCATGTGAGCCAGGGGCGTCACCTCAGAGCGAGCTCTCAGAAGACACAACAACCAGGCAACCTCCCATTTCCTCACACTGAATCCCATCTCCTAGACTCCCCGCCCTGCCCGCACTGGCACGGGGTCGCTCTGAAGGCGGGAAGCGCCGGGCTCCTCCTCCTGCTGGTGACGGTCACAGGGCTCGGTGTTTGGGGTAAGTGTCTCGGAGACGTTTATTCAGTGGCTGTCACCCAGAGAGCTAGCTTCGATTTTTATTACATTCACCAGCAATGCAAGGAACCTACAGGCCTGTCCCCAGTCAGACAGGGGCATGGGTGATGGGTGAATCACAGAGTTTGGGAGGCTAGCCCCTGGCCTGGCCCATCCCTTCTGCTTGAAGCCCCAACTCTCCTGGACTCCCTGCAACACAAGGGACCGACAGGCCAGTCCCCAGCCAGACACTTAGTGCTACCGTAACACAAATAGCAGAGTCAACAGCTACACTGGGCAAGGTAGGAAGGGGCTCTGGCTCTGTGCTCCTTTAAGGGGCGGGGCTTCAGGTGGAAAGGGCGTGGCCAAGGGCAGCCGACTCTCAGGCCACTCAGACCATAGTGCTCCCTGCCGCCTGCCAGCAGTGCCTGGAGCAAGCTGTGAGGCACCATCTCCTCTCCAGACAGCCCTAAGAGTTGCCTGGAGCGCACTGTGCAGGGCTCTGGTGGTGATTTAAAGGGCTGGGGGCACCATTGGTACAGGAGCGCTGGGCCTTTTTGAATCGCTGGGCCCCAAGGCATCTGCCCTCCAACCCTCTGCCGTTGGCAGGCCTGAGTTCAACGAATACGTTGTTCAGCTGTAATGTCTGCCAGTTAAAGTGCATGAGACTCCCTCATCCCCAAGAGCAGAGCAAAGTGTTACTCAACCAGGAACATTGTGGGCTTGATCCATGAAACACGCGTGGTCTGCTATAAAGAAGAAAGCTTTTTCCAAAGCAGATCAGTTTTTTTTTTAATTTAAAATGGACTTTATTCAGACACAGTTATTTCCTTTTTCTAAAAGGCTACGTCTACACTGGCATGATTTTCCGGAAATGCTTTTAACGGAAACGTTTTCCGTTAAAAGCATTTTCGGAAAAGCACGTCTAGATTGGCACGGACGCTTTTCCACAAAAGCGCTTTTCCGCGGAAAAGCGTCCGTGGCCAATCTAGATGCACTTTTCCGCAAAAAAGCCTTGATCGCCATTTTCACGATCGGGGCTTTTTTGTGCAAAACAAATCTGAGCTGTCTACACTGGCCCTTTTGTGCAAAAGTTTTGAGCAAAAGGGACTTTTGCCTGAACGGGAGCAGCATAGTATTTCCACAAAAAGCCCTGATTTCTTACAGTAGGAAGTCAGTGCTTTTGCAGAAATTTAAGCGGCCAGTGTAGACAGCTGGCAAGTTTTTCCGGAAAAAAAGTGGCCAGTCTAGACACAGCCAAAAGGTTTTTGATGAAAGTAGCCTTTTTTTCTCTCCATTTTGGGGCAGTTCAGTTTTTCCCTCTCTTCCCCCTTTGTATCCTTTTTTATTTATTCTGTTTTCATTTGTTGGGTTTTTTCTGATGATTTTTTCTGACTTTTGTCATTTTTCATGTTTATCGTGGGTTTTTTTCCATCTTTACTCTAACTTTTTTTCTTTCTTTTTTCCAATCAGTCTCAAATAAAGCCCAAAGTTGTTGAAGATTGATGTTGTTTTTTCTCTTCCCTTTTTTATTTCTTTTTCATGTTGCAACTTCTGAAAACTTGCAGAGTGGCCAAAAGAAAAATGAGAACACTCTCATATCCTGTTCTTACTCAGCCTCCTGCAAATTTTCAGGGGCAAGCTATGCACTTTGATACCAGCCTCGCTGTATCCACACTAGGGAGTTTGGGCTTCTTCAACTAGTGCAGTTTCTAACCCTGGATAAAAGCTCTTTGTGCTGACAGATGGAATTGAACCAGAGACCTGTGGAGCTTAGTGCTTGGGTCTCTCCAGCTTGAGCTAAAAGCCAGCTGATTCTCAGCTAAGGCTGTAGAGCTCACCCACTCTTTGGCCAGTTCTATATTACATCCGGATGGTTGGCTTAAGATAGGCAACTCCAGCTATGTAAATAATGTAGCTGAAGTCGATGTACATTAAGCAGAGCTTGGTGCTGTCTCTACAGCAGGAGGTTTGACAGAAGCAAATCTCCAGTCGGCTTCTCTAACGCCTCACACATCAAGGAGAACTGGAGCTGATGGGGGCACCATCAGCATTCCATTTAGAGGGTCTTTACTAGACCCACTAAAACGAACAGCAAAAGATTGATCTTTGGCACATATAGATGTGGCCTCACTGTAAGTGACCTACATGGGACAGTGAACCCCACCCAGAAGGTGTATGAGTTACAGATGAAGACTGACATTGTGTTCCTCATTATTAAGGCTCTGTAATTCTTTCCACTTCTGTATGACAGTGTGGCTGTCACCATCTCAGTTTTTCACAGAGGACACTGAAGCCTGTGGTAAATGGAGGAAACAAAGCCCATTGCGTCTGAGTCACCATTGAACCCTCTTCCTTAGTCAAAAGGGGATGTTTATATTTTCATTCTCATTGCCATGTGAACGCTTTCAGACTCAGCATAGCTAAGGTCAGTTGAGCTCCGTTCGATTTGCTCTGGACAGTAACAAAATAGACTTTGCAAAAGCGACGAGGAGATCTGTGGCACCTTATAGACTAATGGCTAGAACAGTGGCACCTGATATCCTAACAGATTGATTGGAGCATAAGCTTTCATGGGCAAAGACCCACTTCATCAGATGGGTCTTTGCTTATGAAAGCTTATGCTCCAATAAATCTGTTAGTCTATAAGGCTGTGTCCAGACTCAGGGGTTTTTTTCGAAAAAAGTAGCCTTTTTTCGAAAATACTTCCCCTGCGTCCAGACTCAAGCCGCGTTCTTTCGAAATTAATTCGAAAGAACGCGGCTTTTCTTTCGATGGCGGTAAACCTCAATTTACGAGGAAGAACGCCTTCTTTCGAAAGTTCCTCTTTCGAAAGAAGGCGTTCTTCAATGTAAATAGGCCGTCTTCGAAAGAGAGCATCCAGACTCGCTGGGTGCTCTCTTTCGAAAAAGCGGATTTCTCTTTCGAAAGATCCGCCTGCAGTCTAGACGCAATCTTTCAAAAGAGGCTTTTTCGAAAGATGCTTTCGAAAGAGCCTCTTTCGAAAGAAGCCTGCAGTCTAGACATAGCCATAGATATTGCTGGACCAGAGAGCACTGGACTAGAAAAGTTCAACCTATACTTATACACGATTTTGGACCGATTCAATTATTTCAGGCAGAGGTGTGATTTTCTATCAAAATAGTTAAATTAGCACAAGCCCCCTTTTAAATATCAGCACAATGGTGCCACATACCAGTATAACTTTCCCCCCTTTTCTTAGGGAGAAAGCTATGTCAATATAACCACCCACATTAACAGAGGCTGTAGCACTTTAATTATACCAGTACAATTAAAAGGATGTTATTTTTGTCTGTAGACACACCCTTTCACTACGTCAGTGGATGTCCAGCTGCCGCCCAGGCCGGAGTCACTGACCCATTGGTGCCCCACATGCCCCGAGCAGTGACAACCCTTCCCACACAAATTCTGTTCTGAAGCTTTTCAGGGCTCCCCGAGTAAAGAGGCAGAGGGATCAGCCCAGACGGGCGATGGTGTCACACCGAGCACCAGTAGCGGAAGAGCACACAACGCCAACCTGGAGGACTTGGTTTCTCGTCTGAAGCAGAGCGTGTGTGATCCAGCCCAGATAAACTCAACAGGTAACCTCAGCTCATTGTGGGGCAAACCCATCTGCATCTCCACGGGGCACTGTGTGTCCGACTCACCACTCGCTGGGCACTGCTGTGTGTGACCCGCGTGTAGGAAATCTCCCCCGTCTGCATTCAGGTCTCAAGGAAGTTGATGCCGGGACTTACCAGGGCTCAGGGCTGTCCTTACGGTCAGGGCATACTAAATTTCAGGTGCCCCTCGGTCACCATGTGTGCTGGTGTGTCTGCGGGTGGTCCTGAGCACCCTCTGCTGATCCCTCTCCAGCCCAGCCCTTTGCCCCCAGCCCCCTCCTGAAGATCGACTCCTAACCTGACGGCCCTCAGAATCCACTATTGCTGGGGTGACCATATTTCCCTAACCCAATATTGGACAGGTGGGGGCTGCTGGCTCTCGGGCTTTAGGCCACGGGGGGCTGCCGGCACTCACGGCCCCAGCCCTGTCGGGGCTCCAGCCCCACAGCGCGGGGTAGGAGGGCAGAGAGAGGAGCTGTTTGGTGTTTGAATCTCCAGTAGCTGAAGCTCCAAGTGCCGTCAGCTCCTCACATCTGTTGGGGCTTCAGCCTCAGGCTCTGGAAAGTCTGGCAGACTCCCCACTTCTTGAGGGCACGCAGGGTGGTGCAATGCTCCCCCCTGGTTTCTTCCTATGGCCCTCGCACTGCCCCCTCCCTTTGGGCCACAAGTGCTGGTGGTTGATGCATTTGAATCTCCAGTAGCTGAAGCTCCAAGTGCCGTCAGCTCCTCACATCTGTTGGGGCTTCAGCCTCAGGCTCTGGAAAGTCTGGCAGACTCCCCACTTCTTGAGGGCACGCAGGGTGGTGCAATGCTCCCCCCTGGTTTCTTCCTATGGCCCTCGCACTGCCCCCTCCCTTTGGGCCACAAGTGCTGGTGGTTGATGCACAAAGGCTATTTTTCCCCCCATTGCCACATGAGTGGACGCCTGCGACTCTCCCTGCATGAAGCTCCGCACCTCAGGGATCTGCCGCCTTCCCCTTCCTGCCGGGCTGAGCCGAACGCCCTTTCTCTGAGCCGTAGGCCTGAATGGCTATTGGCCCCCTCCAGGGTCAGCGCCTCCCTGGCCAGACTATAGTGTTTGCCTCTGAGATGTGACACACTGGCCATGCTACCGCTGGGGTCTACAAACCCCAACACTTTCAACTTAGTGCGGACAGATGGGGGTTTAGTTCCCCTTGGGGACCGTGCGTGGCTGTAGCATTGGCCTCCTCCCCAGGGGATGCAACTTCCCCTCCCTTCGCCCATCCTATCCGGCAGCAACCAGGCTGGAGGATTTCAGCAGCCCCCTTGGTTTTGAGGCAGCCCCACTTGAGCTCAGGGAGCTGGGAGGAGGGTGGGTTTGCCAGCTGCCCTCAGCCCAGAGGAGGCGGGAGGGGACAGCAGCCGGCCACAGGAAAGGCTGCCACGTCGAGTTCTGGGCGATGGCTCTGGCTCCGCAGTAGAGAGGAGGGAAAGAATCCCTCTGTGTTGGGAAGCGCCGGAAGCATTAACGCCCTTTGCCTCTTCTCACCCCTGCAGGGGGCGCCGGGTGCAAACTCTGCCCCAGGGACTGGTGGCTGCAGGGGGACAGAGCGAGAGCCGTGAGGACTGCACAAGGAAGGGATCTGAAATGCTGGTGATCCAGAACACGGAACAGATGGTACCGTGCATTGTCTGTCGGGCACAGCGAGAGCCGTTCCTCGTGTCTCTGTTCTCTGCCACACGCCTCTATACAGGGGACCCCAAACTCCATTGCCCCGCAACCCCCTTGTGACACTGAAAATTACTCCATGGCCCCAGGTGGTCAGTGGGGGTGGAGCTGGGGCCCAAACCCCCCACCCTGGGCTGAAGCCCTTTTGTGGGGTTAGGAGACTTCGGGTTTAGCTTCACCTCAAACTGTGTGAGTCTAATGTTGGTGCCAGTAACCCCATTAAATTGGGGTCGCAAGCTACTTTGGGGTCCAGACCAATGTTTCCTCCAATCTTTTCCATCCATGAGAGTATCATTCCCATCCATGTGTGGAATAAATTTTATTATATGCACCGAGGCTTGTACCAATGTGCACCACCAGTGGGAACACAAACCCAGCGGTGGGGGCTCTGCTGATCAGCAAGGCAGCTCTGGAATCTCTCCTGAGCATCCAGGCAATGAGGGGCAGGTAATTGACAGGGATTCAAAAGCTAATCGCAGTCCAGGCTTCAGCCTTAGGCTCTGGAAAGTCAGGCAGACGTCCCCCTACTTTACTGTGCCCAGAGCAGGGCGGCTTTTCTCCCTGGTTTCTTTCTTTGGCTCTCCTCCTGCACCCTGCTGGCGTCTCCCCTGCCACTAGCCACAAATAAGCTGCTGCAGTTGTGCTGACCGGGAAACTCAAGCACCAGCAGGGAGCCTGCAACAACGGGAAATTTTGCTCCCTTTAAAAAAAAAAAAGTGAGGATGCCTTAAATACGGGGCAGTCCGGTAAAACCAGGCCAGATGGTCACCCTGGCTACTGCTCACTTGGAACGGTAACCACAGGCACTGGCTTTCTTTTTTCTGGGCTGGGTTCCTGCCTCCTCCTTCTCCGCCCTGCCCCAGGTCTCTTCTTCCTGCCCCCGAAGCTTGGCCCTCGTTTTTCCCCCTGCCTTCGGGCCCCAAGTGCCTCCAGCCCCAGCAGTGAGTTACAAACATTTTGTTCACAAGCCAGCAGCTCAGAGAGTGAAGATTCTCACATTCTCATTAGTGACACTGACATGCAAGTGACCAGAATTATTATTTATTTGATACGACTCGAGCAGACGTACCGGGCATTGCTCACATCTGTAACTCATGTAAAGCGGGGAGAGGGGATACATGCTTCATTTCCAGAATTATATTTTTTTAAATGAAGGAAGATGAGGGTTGGAGTGCAGGTTCGGGGGCAAGGTGAGGGAGGCCTGAAACCTGTTTTAGGGGAGAGGGGCAGCCCCACTAGACAAAGGGGAAACTGTGACTCGGAAGTTGTAAGAACATAAGAACGGCCGTACTGGGTCAGACCAAAGGTCCATCTAGCCCAGTATCCTGTCTGCCGACAGTGGCCAGCACCAGGTGCCCCAGAGAGGGTGGACCGAAGACAATGATCAAGCGATTTGTCTCCTGCCATCTCTCTCCAGCCTCTGACAAACAGAGGCCAGGGACACCATTTTATCCCCTGGCTAACAGCCTTTTATGGACCTAACCTCCATGAAATTATCTAGCTTCTCTTTAAACTCTGTTCTAGTCCTAGCCTTCACAGCCTCCTCTGGCAAGGAGTTCCACAGGTTGACTACACGCGGTGTGAAGAAGAACTTTCTTTTATTAGTTTTAAACCTGCTCCCCATTAATTTCATTTGGTGTCCTCTAGTTCTTCTATTATGGGAACTAATAAATAACTTTCTCCAGCACAGCGTGTGGTGCTGGATTATTGCTGGGAGGGGTTTCTGCATTTGTGCATCTCAGGGTCTGTCTAACACTGTGTGCTGTGAACACTGGGACAGAAGTAAAAGACGTCGAAAGGCAAACCTTCACGCAGCCCTTTTGTTGCAGGGTAACCTACATCCAGCCCTGTCAGGGGCAGATTCTGTTTGGATTGGATCACTATTCAACTCTTCCCAAAAGAAGTGGACCTGGCTGGATGGTGCCCCTGTCGATAAAAAACTGTGAGTGTCTCCTGAGTGTTACTATTTCATGCATGGAAGTTGCCTTGCCGTGTCATTTGCTGGATCAGGGCCTGCAGGGTTCCCCACACCAGCTGCTCTGGGCTTCCTAGTAGTTGAGAATCACAATGTAGGTCACTGGAAAAGATTTCACTTGCGACTCAGCTGTCATGCTCATCTAAGCCTGCTTTACAGGCCCGCTTCTCAAACCGCTCCTCACTTAAGTCTTGCCCTGGGGACGCTTTGTGGAATCCCTCCATCCGATTTAGGAATTTAAGTAAAACTAGAACCCTGTGTAAAAAGCTGCAAAATGTATTTTGGATGGGGGCAGGGACCAGCTGTCTTCTTAGCTGTGCATCTGACTCCAGGTTGAACTTGAGTGCCAGTGCACAGTACCAAATAAAGGGGAATAATCACTTCTCTAGATCTGCTGGCAATGCTCCTCCTAATGAGGCCATTTGCACGTGGGGCAGAGGGATCCTGCCTTCCAAACTCACACAGACCCATCCTGACCTGGGGGGGAATAAAAGGTCCTGTACAGGGGGCAGGCAGGGCTAGAATGTGTCTGGATTTAACCTCGCGCTGGGGTGTTTTTCTGCCTGTACAGAGGGCCGTGATCTACTGGCCCCCACTAGTTGTCTATTTGGATTGGTTGCACAGGTTAATATTCCTAGGTGGGGTGTATTGAGGTCATGACCCCTGTATCGGAAAAGGAAAAAAGTCTGAAGGGAAGAGCTGTGACAGGCTCCTTACTCAAACCAAAGTGACAGCAACTGTCTCCTTCATCCGGCAGGTTCCCAAGGCAGGGTGAGGCTCCAGAGAACAACTGTGGAGTGCTACAAGGGAGTAAGGTTGGTTTTGACACCTGCACCAGAAAATTGAAATGTCTCTGCCAGAAAGACGCCTTCCCGCTATAGACTGCGCCATGACCACTGGGAAGAGCAAAGAGCCCAACGTCTCTGAAACCTCTGGCGTGTGTTATAGGCTCACACAGCTGCCGATCCCTGGCTGGGTGCATCAACCACAGCAGCTCCGGAGTCTAAAGGGCGAGATCCCCGACTGATGTTGATCTGCACTGTTGACGTCTGTGGTTTCAGTGGCCACTGAACAAAAGTAAACCCAGTGCCCCACCCAACCCATCAGTACCAGGGGAGAGAGGAGTGGTGCTTCCTAGCTGTTCCCGCCCCCAGCCCAATCCTATTGGCCAGTTTCTAGCCCATGGGAGCTGCCTGTTTCAAGAACAGGCAGCACACAAAGCACCAATCCCCCCTCCCCTCAAGCTCTCACTCACAGAGCACATGGCCCCATAGCCCGTGTGGGGGCAGGGCAGGCTCCCGAGAAACATGCCGGGTTGCTGGCCGGGAGTCTGGCTGGTAAGTGTCCTGGCCAGAGCCTGCCTCTGGCACCCGAGCCCCTCCCTCCCCACACCCATCTATCCTCCTACCCCTCATAATCCAAACCCTCCACCCCACTCCTGAGCCCCTCCCAGGCTTTGCTGTTCCCTGAATCCCCGGCCCCAGATCACAGTCCCCTCCTGCCCTAGGTCACAACCCAAACTCCTGCTGCCTCCTTCACCCAAACTCAGTGGCTCCCCCTGTTACACTGAGGATATTAAAACCTAATTTTGCATCTAATTATTATTAATTAAACCTCAGTGGAAGTTGCTGCTCCCTGCTACCCCCCTGCCCAAAAAAGTTTCCCCCCCCTGCCACGAATAAAGACAACATTGAAACCTTTGTGTGGGACGTCATGTTAGTTGATTTATACAACAAGGCCCCAACTGGGGCTCAGCCCCCATCTGGCTACAGCGTCATAACGCTCCTGCATTCTCCCCCACACCCACCCTGAGCCCCTCATACACCTGCGGGACGGGGCAAGCAGGGGAGTCTGCCTGAGGGACCCCCCCTGCCACGAATAAAGACAACATTGAAACCTTTGTGTGGGACGTCATGTTAGTTGATTTATACAACAAGGCCCCAACTGGGGCTCAGCCCCCATCTGGCTACAGCGTCATAACGCTCCTGCATTCTCCCCCACACCCACCCTGAGCCCCTCATACACCTGCGGGACGGGGCAAGCAGGGGAGTCTGCCTGAGGGACCTGGGCTGGACTTGAGCTTCAAAAGTGCCCATCTGGCTCCCAACTGAGCCATGCTTGGCTTGTGAGTTTGACGACCCCTGAGCTCGGCATTTCCGCGCCGGCACAGCCCGGCTAAAGGAGGCTTCCAGGGGGCCCATCCCCCAACGATGCAGCTCTGCTAAACCTCCCCCCGCAGGCTCCAGGGAACCGTGGGAGCAGCGGAGAGAAACTCCATAGGGAAAGGGGAGAAGCTCGGAACAGCCCAGAGGTTGGTCCATTGAAAGTTCTGCCCACAAAATGGGCTTTTTGTCCCCCGCGGAAAATGCAGATTTGGTGACACTGAAACATTTTATGAGTTCAAGTTCATTTTGCTGAATTATTTCAATTGAAAAAAAATCAGAGAAAATTGAATTTTGAAAGGATTTTTTAAAATTCAAAACAACTTTTCATTCAAAAATTCCTGTACTTTTATTGTTTTAAACGTTAAAAATATTAAAAATTATGAAAATTGAAGCAAAATGGGGGTTCTCCCCAATTTTTTAAAAATTTAATTTTCTGAAAAATTAAAAACAAAAATCATTTTTTGAATTGGCCATGAATCAAAAAAAATCTGTGATTTGCCCAACTCTCCTTAGAGGTTCATTTGTGATTATTTTGGCTGACTGGGTACTGAGCATGTGCCCAGGTACCAAGCTGTTACATCAGCTGGTAGCAGCCCCATGAGGTAGACATAAAAGCAGGGATCCATAGGGATTAGGAATGATTCTTCCCTGTTTCCTTCACACCAGCCAGACCTACAGCATAGGAAAGATGCAAAGGAGGGAGAGCTGTAACGTTAGCTCCAGATCTTTCTTCTACAAG